ACAGCAGTGCCTTAAAGCTTGGGGGAATGCCCTAAAAACGAAATTTTTTTTAAAAAAAAAAAAAACTAAAAATAAATCAAAATTTAGGTTAACCATGGGACAATTTTGAAAAAAAATAAAAAAAGAGACGAGTTGACGGACATTCTTTGTAATTTCTATGCATAAGTGAAGCTTTTATATTTTACCTAAAATTTTAAGGTCCGTTCGTAAATCACTGTAATAAATCTCATACATCGTCCTCCGTCGATGCTAACCAGGATAAATTATGCATCCACAGGTGCATAATTGCAGGGGCTCAAACTTTAAAAGGAGTGGAAAGCTATTTAGGAAGGCCATGGAAGAATTACTCAACAACTGTTTACATGAACTCCATGTTGGGTGACATAATCAACCCTAATGGCTGGCTTCCATGGACTGGGAACTCAGCTCCTGATACTATCTTTTACGGTGAGTATGGAAACTATGGTCCCGGCTCCAACACGAGTGAAAGGGTGAAGTGGAGAGGATATAAGAAATTGACAACTTCTCAGGCAAATAAGTTTACTGCAAAATCGTTTATTCATGGCTATAAGTGGATATCTACAATGGGAGTTCCTTATTCCAAAGGTTTGTGAACCCATTCATAGGCTTGGGGATTTTGATTTTTTTTCTCTCTCTCTCTATCACAAGGGAAGAGAGGCCGGTTCAAAAACTACATTGTGTTGGCCACTTGTCTTCTAAAGTTTCTTATTTGATGTTGATTATTGAATGAGTTGTTGGCAATAAAGATTATTCTTCATTTCTCTTCCAAAACATATTGGGCAAAGGTAGCTAAAAAGAATGGTTAATCACATTTGAGAAGTTTTAACGGGTAACTTGTCAAATTTTCCTTTTTTTATATTAGGGAAATTTATCCAAATATTGATGAGAGATTAACTACTTGACACTATATTAATATTCTTAAAATACCCGTCAAAGACACATGATCATGAGATCATGAGTTGGAATAGTTGCATTTGGGTAAAACGTTAACCTAAAAGTTTTCCTACTTCTGCGGGAGTATACTACACAATCTAAAAGTTTTCCTACTTCTGCGGGAGTATACTATACGTTTACTCCCTCTGGAAAAACACATGCTAGTAAAAACAATTTTTTAAATAAACTATCCATGTACTGCTTCAATATTGAATAGAAGTCGTCCAAAAAATTTCCAGGCCTAGATCTAAGTCTTACAAAACTGAAAATTCGAAATTTTTTCTTTAGAAAATAATCATCTTGTAATTCTTATGTTGTTCCAAAACTGTTAGACTACAAGAACTTCTTAAACCGGTGTTTCTAGTGAGGGAACATATGTATAGTATGCTCAAGTGGTAACAAAGTATACATGCTGCGCATGTCTTATTCATATTTTAATAAATTTCCTTTATTATTATATCATTCTTTTTAGGGTAATGCCATCCCATATGTAAAATGAATACGTAGATTTTCTAAAAATAAAATAATAACAACAAAAAAAAGTAGAGAAATGTTTTTCTTTATAGATAGCAATTGGATAACATGAAAATTGTGATAAAGTTTGAGGCAGGTGACTACCATAAAACTTCCCGTATAAATATGCAAACAAGGGTTTAAGAGTTAGCTCGTAAAATCCAAAGGTTTTGTTAAGCTTACACTTCTCTGACTACTTCGATAAGATCCAGCTATGGCAACACAGGACTGAGCTTCCACACAGATAAACCCAAAATTTTCAAGGTGATGGCGATCACGTATGAATAGAATCCCTTTATAAATATGTTTCACAGGGCCTTGTTTCCCCTGCAGAATAGTAACATACAATTATTTACTAAGAAAAGAGTTTGGCTTCATCTTAACAGTTCAGATATTAGAATCTTCTCCCTCATGAATCCTAACAACATCCTTCAAAGAAACTGTGCTACCATAACGATCTTGGGTACTACGCTTCCTCTCTATCTTGTTTCTAATCTCCCTTGACTTAACCTAAACAACCTCTGCTCTCTCCGGAACTCCTTTGAGAACCTGGGAAAGAAGTTAAGATGCTCATTTTGAATTTAAAATGCAACCGTTCCACCAAACGATTTAAAATGTAGTTGAAAAAGATTTAGTGCCACACATGCTCACTTGAAATGCATCACTCTCTACCCGTATGATGACACCACAGTTGGAGTTACTGCAACACATTTGACTCCACGTCAAAAAATATCTGCTTATTTAATAATTAACAAAAAAGAATATCAACTTACTCCATTTGCACTAGACTATGGAGCTCATAGTCTCCAATTTTTGTAATACCGAAAGTTATTTCAAAACTTTCTACCACATTATCAGCAAAAACTCGAATCTGAATACACCAATTGCAAATAAAATGAGTCAATGAGTCTTACAAACTAAAAGAAATTCACTCTTGCCACCCATTATGACCTGCGACATGTATACAAAATTGCAAAGTTACTTACATCTTCCTTGGTGGTGTCCGAGAAGATGATGCGAACCTGTCCCTCCACCTTGACAACCATACCGGTAGCTCCTTCCTGAGCACCTGAGACTACCTTCACATGATCTCAAGGTTTAAAGTATTTGTAGAGATCTTTCTCATTAACAGTAAGGGTTTCCTGAAAGGCATGTAGCAGGATTTATGATGTAATACTCAGATGAACAACTTATTCTGAACTTTTAGAAACATAAAAAGTAGAGAATAACTACTTTGAAGCCTGGGATCTTCGATCTTATGTAGACACTCTCTTCCTCAACCTTCTCAACCCATCCCATCAGATTCTTGAGATCTCCACGGACGACGATTACCGCATCTCCTTTCATAAAATGCCCCTTTTTCTATTTGCAAACACTGTTGACAAACTGGCCATATCGCCATCTGAATCTTTTCTAGGCTTCCGGAACTTCTCTAGTTCATCAAATGGGTTGCATGTTCTGAGAACTAATAGACTTCATTGACACAGTTTTATAAGCATAGCCATCTTTGAACGTCATCCCATCAATAGTTTCAAAATATTCCCCCGTAGTTGAATCTCGCCTTCGCTCAACGGGGATATGCATATCCCCGAAATTATAAAATTAATAACAAGGTACTATCAATCCCAGTTGAACTCAAACATGTAAAGTAACAATGGGCTGCTATATCTTCAAAAGTCATGGTTGATTAGGTCATCACCATCCATTTTTTTAATGAGAGGTGAGAACCAAATGAATGATAGTTTTCCATAGCCACTTGCAAAATAGTAGTATACTTTTCCATCATTAATGCACAAAGGGAGTATTTCATATTTTACTTCATCTCACGGGTGTTGATAAACCGTGGTAGAGGAACAAAGTTCTTCTTCTTCCCGACCTCGTTGCCCTCCTGATACAATCAAGAAATGGTCTATCATAAGGTGTATCTATCAAGAAGAGTCAAACAGTAAGATGCTTACCATGTTGTGTACATTACAAACCAAAGTGCAATACAAAAAGGAAGTGATATATGAAGATGGAAAAACAAATAGAAGCTTACCAATTTGTTGGCCAAAGCTTGGAGGTCGATCCTTGGGGTAAGCTTTATTGTAACTCTTTGCCTCACATTATTTAAACCTGCAGAGGTCGGCAGTCATAAATTTCCATAAAAGCAGTACGAATAACCCAAGAGAGGAAAATGAAAGACAAGTATACCTTTGCCAGATCGGCTTTATAAGTTCCGAGCTTCACACGCACCCATGTATCCTTCGAAAGCTCAACAGATTACTCTCAACTGAGAGAACATCTGCCATCTCTTTGATTGGAACAAGCATCGGTTTGGTATTTGATTGTCGCATTCCTTTACAAGCCTGGACCCGGGAATGGTATAAACAAAAACCAGAAAATGAAGTGCGTACACACAAATAAAAGTCATAGATGGGCCATACCTCCTTGACATGAGCTTCCTTAATGTATATATGATTCGTCAAATGATCCAATGTAATAACCGACTTTATCTGTTGTTTTATTCCTTGAGATTGCACATCCATACATTTCTGCATCAAGCAGAAAGCCACCTCTCTTTCATGGCCAATCTGATAAAAAACATAAAACATCAAAAGTTAAAGAGTACGCAACAAAAAAGATTAAAGAAAATGTCCTCCTACTTCAATTTTCTCTCCCTCATTGGCTCAACATACCGCGCATTTGACCATCCACAGCTTTGGATCTTTCACTGAGGGCAAAAGAACTTCTTGTGCAGTCTCTTCCTCATATTCTAAGTGATCTGATCGACCATATTTTTCTTTAATTAACCTTTCAAGGTCTTCCCCATCTTGTTCTTCCTCTCGTGGAGGGAAAGGCCGATGATGAACTCGCCGTTCATCCTCGTCTTGCCACTCATTTCCGACACCAATATGCCGTTCATCCTCGTCTTGCAACTCATTTCCCATACCAATAAAATCTGTCACCTGAACATGAAATAGAGGTATATAATTATGCGAACTATTTCTATTTGTTGAGAAATACTAAAATAGGGCTATGCATAATTGCTTCAAATAACGAAATTCAAGTATTTTTAGGAATCAAACTGTAATTCGATGATTATTCTCTATGAAGTACATCACAGCACTGACATGAATGCTTCGAGATTGATAATATCAAAGCAGCAATATATACACCATGACCGTTCAGACTCAAGAGGAAATGTTCTTCATCATCTCAATTACAGAAATTTATTTTCCTACTCATATCAAACCATAAAAAATAGAAGCCACAACTTTCTCGCATTATCAAAGCACCAGGAGTGAAACATCATTCTCCTGCCATTGAAGCAGACGTTCAAAGATCAGGGAGCAAAGTAGATTCACATTAGGTACTTATGGCTACGCTTAAACATGCCAGTCACAGTTGAGCCTATAGGTTTGACATTTCTGCATAACGGGGTGATTTGATTAGACCTGTCTGAAGCTCCTAAAATTCAAACAACAGGATAGCCACTCCCAGAGAAAATCAAGAACAACAGGTATGGTCATTTTCCCCACATAAGACCGTACAATCTACGCTCATTCTCCACGATCTTACTGAAGAAGATAATATAAATATTTTCAAAACAAATGTACATTCTAGGAAAATTTACTAGCTTTGTTCATTACCAGTTGAGAGGGCTTATGATCCAAAGAGAGTAAACTTATCCCAGAAAATAAATGAGTCAAAATATTTTATTGAGTATAATCCTTTAAACAAAGTAAGCCGCAACGGTCGCATCGAAAATTATTACAAGTTAAATGAGCTAGGTACATTAGAGCATATGGCCATTAAAACATTAAATAAACACTCGTGCCTATCTTAAAAAATAAAAAATAAGGCACAACTCCTAATTTTATCATAATATGTAATTTTAGTGCAAAAACATTCTGAGGATGGCCTGAGAATCTATTTTCATCTCCAATTACAAAATTTTAAACTCCAAAAATAGTTGATATCAAGTAAGATCTGTACATAAATGAAAATAAATATTGAAAATGGACAGTTCAGATAATGTGTTGCAATATGCAATATTTTACGGACTCAAATTCTTTACATGTTTCATACTCATACATCTTAATGCCGATATGATCAATCAAAAGGTTTTCTAGCATCAAAAACCCTTTCTTCGATGGATTTTTTG